GGTTTAACCATTTTGTTCCTATTTTGTGAAAATGATGGTTTTTGGAAATTTTGAAACTGGCCTCTTCTAGGTGTTCTAGCATCATTTCTTCTTATTTGAGAAAATTCATTTTTATGCACAAAATCATTTTTCTTAGGTTGTCTACCATGACCGTTTTCATTCCTAGGTTTTAGTCTAGGTTGTCTGGTGTCCTTAGGTTGACTAGATTTTCTATTATCTTGATTTTTAGGTTTCTTATGTTGAACCTTAGATGATTGTCTAGGTGGTGGCTCAACATTATCTTTAGCTTTATTTTTATCAAAACCTATTCCTTCCTAAGAAAAATGCAAAGTGTCAAGAAGTAAATTTAAGTCTTTATGAGGAGTATTAAATTTCTTGACCGTGCTCTAAAGTTTAGCGACTTGCTCTTTTAAAGCTTTGCAAGACCCACATTCACTTGATGAGCTTTCTGGTTTGTCAGCGCTTCTTTTTCCAAAAAATTTGTTTTCTTGTTTAAGTGTTTCATTTTCTTTTTCCAATTTTTCAAAATCGTTTTCAAGTAAAGAAAGTCGTTTCTTCAAAGATTTATTTGTTTTAGAAGCGCTAACAAATTCCTCATAGAGTTCATGAAGTGCTTCTTGCATTTCTTCAAAAGTATAAGAGCCGGAAGTGTTGAAACACGGGTTCATCACGTTTTCGTACTAAAGCCGTGTTCGTTGTTATGACAGATTTTGATAATGCCAAACCGCCGTGAACGAGACAAGTGATTGAATATACAAGGCGAGAACCAAAGATGAGAAGAAAGAGAACAAGGGCCAAAAGAAGACCAAGAACGAAGACCGTAGTCTTAGTGTTATTGAGTCGGTCATAATTGTGATCAAGACCGACCCAACCTTTACACCTTGGCTCTTTAGGCTAAAATCTTTTCATTGCATTTCACACATCATAAAAATGTTTTTCAAACATGTTTAAAACATTAAAAACACTTGGTGTTCGCCCAAACCAAAAACCAAGCTATCCGGCGTTCGCGTTTCAGAAACCGGCGTTCGGCATTCGGTTTTCAGCATTGGTTTTTGGCGTCCGAACTAACCAAGTGGTTTTCAACTTTTTATGACTGGTTTTTAATTCTGGGCACATTTAAATAGTTTTCATAAAAAACACTTCAAAAACCACCTTTCGTTTTTTATCGTTTGATAAAAACCACGCGAAACGGCATAAAATTGGCTAGCCGTGGTTTTTACTTAAATAAAGTGTTTTCAAGTATTTTTGTATGGGAATTGTTTTTGAATGCATTTAAATGGTTCTCCAATCAAAACATCATGAAAACCACCTTTCGGTTTTGTCTTTTGGTGAAAACCACCCGTGTACGGTGTTGACTTGGTCAACCATGGTTTTTACCTTAACGACATGGTTTTCAACATACAAAGCTTGTTTTGACATCAAAATACATTAAATAAGTGTTTTAAACACTTAGTTTTTACTTTGGAGAACTTTGCATTTTTCGGTCGGGTTTTAGTGCCGGTCGGTTAGGCCATGGTTCTGGGCTAGCCATCTACCCAGCGATGGTAGATTTTACCCATGCATGGGTAAGTGATCCCGGGATTCCAGAATCATGCCACCCAGCGATGGGAAGATCTTCCCATCGATGGGTAAGCAGCCTTCAGCCCAATTGAACTCCAGAACCATGCCAAACAGCGATGGGAAGCTCTACCCATCGCTGTTCAAGCCTTGGTCCAACATTATCACAAGGTAGAATGCCCTTACCCAGCGATGGGAAGCTTTACCCATCGATGGGAACCCAGCGAGGGGAAGGCTTAACCATCAATGGGAAGGCATGACCGTTGGGAGTCATTTAAGGCTGATTCTTTCCTTATTTGAAAGTCAACCTCCCACCCAGTGATGGGAAGCATTTACCCATCGATGGGTAGGTAACCGTTGGCTTCAAAACTGAAGGAAAATTGGCTTACCAGCGATGGGTAAGTCTCAAACATCGATGGGAAGCCAATATTCTGCAGATCCCAAATCTTTTCAATCCCATAAATCAAGCCAATCACCCCTTTAATGTATTGGTCCGTTGGAGCCTTTTTTGGCACTATAAAAAGGGGTGTTTGGGTCTGCTTTACACATCAATTCACTTCACTTTATTCATATTATCATTGCATCCAAACAACATTAATTTCCATAGCTTTCTAGAGCCAATTTGTGAAGTTTGAGTTGTTCTTGAGCGTATATAGTTTACTCAACATCTACTCTTAAAGAGAGTCTTGTTCTTGAGTGTTCTTAGTGTTGTAAACACGTTTAGGGAAGCTTGTTTCCCTTGGTTGTACGAAGGAAAGGTATTTCCCTTCGGGTTGAAGTCTTGGAGTGCGGTATCTCCGAGCAAGTGTATTGAGGCTCGTGGGACTCGAGTTCTCAGGTTGTAACGGTTTGTTAAGCACCCGTAAGCTTAACGGAAGTAGTGTAGCTCGAGAGAGTCTCTTGGGAGGCTGGATTAGCCACAAGTTGTGGTGAACCAGGGTAAATCTTGGTGTGCTCCCTTTACTCCTTTTTATTCCGCTCTTTACTTTATCCCTGCGATTTTTATTCCGCAAAAATTTATAAACATTCTCGTGCCTCACTATTCACCCCCCCCTCTAGTGAAGGGCACTTATTCTAACAATTGGTATCAGAGCCTAACTCTCTACAAGCGTTAACCGGTTGAGAGAACGATCTATATTTTCTTGTTGAGAATGTCATATGCAGGATTAAGTGAAGGACACTCCACCGTTAGACCTCCACTCTTCGATGGAACAAACTACACCTATTGGAAGGAATGAATGAGGATTTACATTCGGTCAATCAACTTCCAACTATGGTTAATCATCAAAAACGGTGAGACGATGCCGATGAAAAAGGTTGGTGAAACCACCATCCCAAAGAAGGAGGAAGAATATGATGCTGAAGACATCAAGAAGGTAGAAGCTTTTGAAAAAGCTAAACACATGATTTTTTGTGCAATTAATCCGGATGACTACCGGAAAATTTCTTCTTGCTCCACCGCAAAAGAAATGTGGGATAAGCTTGAAGTGACATACGAAGGTACGCCTCAAGTCCGTGAAGCTAAAATTGATTTTCTAACCCATGAATATGAGTTGTTTAAAATGAAGGAAATTGAAAGCGTTGATCAAATGTT